TTCGACAGGCAATAGATTATGAATGCTAATGTCACATATTAGGAGAAATGTGCATACGTATTTTGTTTGGCGGCAGCCTAACGGTTTAATTATTGCTGTGTTTTGAACTACTGAATGGTGCCACATCTTGATGTGTGCAAAATATTTTAGGTTTTAAAATGACGTAAATCCTGTATTTGTTCCATTTGCTTACCGACATGAAATAAACTATTTAACTACTATTTCACTAGCTTTTCTTATGATACTAAGAGACGGGACGACTAAGTTGTGCACCTGTCCATAGGAGTTGCAGCTTTAAATCGCAAAGATCTGCAGGACAAGCCACTGCGCCTGTCATCCTGAGACAGAAGTTGACAAGTCTCATGAGCCTGTAATTTCACCAGTATCCCTTCAAAGCCGAAACTCAGTAATGATGTTTTTAGTTACTGCTTGGCGGCAGAAATAGGTAAGGTGACTGGCAGTACTTTCCAGGACGCACTTTTTCATTAGCAACTCTACTGGTACTAAAATATTGTTATCATTCACCAGTCCATATAACAAAATACGTAGGTATAACTTGTGATGTGTATTCTTTATTGTACATTAAAAAGTACAATGAAGCTAAGGTACAACAGGCGGCCTTACAGCTAAGTAGAGATTTCCTCCAGCGAATATTAGGCTGCTAACAGATTAACTGCATGTTTGAAGTTAATGCGCGAAGTTTATAACGACTTCACGCATTAATTGCATGCAGTCGATTTCGGCTGCATGAAGTCGGTTTCGACTGCATGCAGTTAATGCGTGAAGTTGTTATCCGAGACCTCGACGGCATGAAAACGTAACAGACAAAGTAACTTTCGCATTATAATATTATATATAGTTTGGATCGATCATATAGAATCCTGAAAGAACCTGCTAAATTTTGGTTTTCAACGGAAGCCCTATAATTATCAAATTCATGTTTATCCCGAAATTTGTAAATTGCCCAGCAGTTTAAAACGACGCCAGTCAGTCGCCATCGGGCGTTTGTCAACGTTGGATCTGTGTTAAATGTTCTCCACCTCTTCTTATTTTATTCATATTAATTTTCAGCGCGCGGATTGAGGGAAGCGAAGGGCGACCCCCGCACCTCACCTAAAATCTATGCACGCGTTGAAACACCTCGATGTCTTAAGTATATATTTGTGTATTCTTCTCACGATATTATCTTTATAATATCGACTCATCCGTAGAACAAAGATCTATGTGCAAGACTACTTGTTCTCAGGACATAGTACATTTCGTTCGTTCGTCTTCGCTGTGGATGTCAGATTGACCGATGTTCAATTTTATATTTCCGAAATTAAGACATAAAAATTCTCAAAACACCTTTACTTAGTTTTAATAACGATCCTCTTTTCGCTGTATAATCACATCGGACTCTGTTATTCGGATGAGTCGATATATTGTGGGGGTATTGGCTCTACACCGTTTTGCTAGTGCGCTTGCCAATTTATTTGTCTGCTGCATTTGAAACCTATCGCTTACGGCAATTTTTTCAAGAATTTGAAGTAACGGTACGATCTTCTTAAAATAGTTTGCATTTCTATTAAGCTTAAGCCGCTTTCTGGCTCATGATAAAGTATTAATGAAAAAAATGGTACTAACAAAAACAAATAGCATTCTAATATTATTTATTATGAACAACGGCTTTCATTCACAAGTACCCTTAGATAATAACAAGTGCCAAGAGTATTCGTGCGGTACTAAAATAGAGTACATAGTGTGAATGCACTATGGAGTACAGTATATCTACTTGGATAATTTGGCAATGGAAGTTGGCTTTAAATTACAAAACGTTGAATATATATAATAATATATTATCAAATACGTATTTTTTCGTGAGGCCATCTGTTGCACTTTGTATTTTTGTTTACGTGGTTGCAATATAGTATGGAGAGAAAAATTTGAATTAAAAACTCGAAAATAAATTTATATGGTGAAAAAATCGTAGCTAAATTGTCCTAAATATTTCTGTGATAAATTACTACTTTTCATGAAAAGTGGTCCAAACCAAAATAGTTGTTTTTGCTTACTACACAAGTGTCCTAAATTTTATTGTGAAGTAGCTATTGCCGGCGACTTCGTCTGCGTAGAATAATTATTTTGAGTAGACTACTATACAATTTTCATAGTTTTATTGATTCCCCATACAAAGTTTCATCCCCTATTTCACAGCTTTAGATTTATTTGTGATAAAAGTAGCTTATGTCCTTCTCCTAGGTCTCATCTATCTCTACACCAAAATTCATCCAAATTGGTCCAGCAGTTTAGGCGTGAAAACGTAACAGGAGTTACTTTCGCATTTACAATATTATATATAATTTGGATATTATATAGAATTTGGATTGCGCTTCCAGTGAGTTATAAAAATCACGTGATTTTATTGGGCCTCTATATTATGTGAGCCATAGATTTAGTATAATGTCAGCTTTGCTTTGCGCGCTCAATATTTCCATCCTCTAAGGCCCAATAAGCCTGAGTTTTTTTAAACCACCTTACGTAGATGCTTTTGAAATAGGCTGCAAAATGTATTTATCGAAACGAAGTAGCAGTATCGCTCCTTATGAATGAGTTCGTCCAGGAAAGCACTGCCACCTTACCTATTTCTGCCGCCAAGCAGTAATGTCAACATTACAGTGTTCCGGTTTTGAATGGTAAGAAGGGTGCTGGTGAAATTGCAGGCACATGGGACTTGTCGACTTATGTCTCAGGGTACTTGCGAATTAAAGCTTTAAAGTGGCACTGCAACTGTTATGGATAGGCGTGTAGTAAGCTACATCCATCCATCAGGCGCACGACATGTTCGTCTTGTCATTTGATATTATAAAAAAAACGTAGACTTTTATTACTAAACGTAGGCCTACATTATATAACAAAGACGTAATGCTATGGCGAAAAAAAAAATAAATGTAAAAGTAACTAGTAAACCTTGATCCAGTCTCAATAAGTATGTAGGTAAGTAACCTCTTATGCAGAGTGATAATCTTAAACATACATATGTCACAGTGTATGCATATGGTGTGTAACTGTATATAGTTTAACTTTTTAAGGACCATGGTCTCCGTTTAACTCGGTGGGGAAAAAGGAGTGAAATGCATGTATGCATACTTAATAAATATTGAAATCAGAACTCATTTACTGTCTTAATTTACCATTAAATTTGAGCCATATCTTGACAGATTTAATTTATATTAATATATACTTTATACCATTACTAAATATAATGAAAATAAAAATAGAATGAAGCATTAATTTGCCTCACTGTACTCTGCAATGTATTAAATTTTGTCAAAATTTCTTTTCACAATTCCTTAAAAAATGATACTATGTGAACTTAGAATACATTTTATTTTTATTTAATCAGTTAATTTCCTTTGGAAATGAAAACATATACTATGTGCACTTACAATGTAATAGCCGTTTATACAATACCCTTTTAAATTAGCTCACTAAACTCAATAGATATCAACAGCAGGTGAGCAGGCTAGATTAAGTATTATACAGAGTAATTTATAAGTTGAGTGTAACTTTACACTTAACTTATCTGCAGTAAGTGTTGATTCTGCTGACTCTACAAAACAGTGTTGTATACCATTTACAAATTGACAGTGTGTAGAAAAGAGGGCAATTATTTTATAATTTTAGAAGGACTTGTTTCATTATTCAAAAAATTTTAGAACTGTTTAACAGTACCCATTGTGTCGTTTATTGTAATCTGTAGATGAAAAAATCTGTCATTTTTAATTCTAATAAATTATTTCATACGTCTGAAATATTTAAGTTTGTCTAAATTGGCTTATTTATTTGTTGTTAACCTTTGAAATTTGATTACATAAATTATTATTTAATATTATTATTTTCTTAAATAAGTAATACAATCGCAAAACTTCTTAGACCAATATAATTAGTTCTATCTACCTACATAATTATGAAAAATATTTACTTAGTTAAGACTACACTGAGACTCAAGCTCTATTTCGGAGAGTATTAACATGAAAATATATAAAGTACAACTTACTAGCGAAATCTGCTCGTAAAGTAATGTTGCGCGGAAATAGAAAATTCTAACAAGCATTTTTTAAATTCTTTCACCGTGTAAAAAATATTATACAATAAATCGCTATAATTAATAAAAATATGGTCTCACCGTTGAATTTGGCCAGCTGGAAAATGAAGAAAACCCTTGACAAATTAAATTTTCGTAAGTTTTGATTACACAAGTGAAATCTTCGCGTGCAATCTCTTTGCTCGTTCAAAAACGAATTGACATTTATTTGACTCAAGGAAAATAGAGTTTCCAATAGTTTTCAAGATAAAACATCGATCTTTTAAAAAATAGGGTGTCGATTCAGTTTCGATTTTGAAATTTCGAATCGAATTTGAAACAGATTTCAATGTTTGTTTTATAATATAAATATGCTTATATAAAACAAATTGCGTACAGATCAATATCTGCAATTTCTCTAAGAATTAATGTTCGTGGTCAGTTCTTCTTCTTCTTCTTATTTTAAATGCTATGGCTCCATCGAAACAAACGATGATTTCGCCAATGTCAAGTAAAAATGACTATGGGTCGTATTCCAGAACTCTACTCAATGCTCAAGTCAGAAATTTTACTTTATAATGTTACAACCCCATTGATACCATATCGGTAAACCCGCCAATGCAGCAATGCCAAAAAATGTGGAACGCTTCACAATTTTGCGTGTCATCCTTGCGCAAGGGCCATACTAATCTTCTCTGTATCGTTCCAATTTTAGTATATGCCTAAGTAGCAACTTTTTGAACCTTTGATATATCTTAAGCTCAACTCTATTATAAGAAAAAAGCAATGGTTAAATGTCATTTCACTTTTGTGATTCTACGTGCATTGTAGTTTACCCTTATTAACTCAGTTTTCTTGATTAATTTTACGTAACAATTCCATAAGTTTTGCTAAAATTTAAATGCGTATGAAAAATAAATAATATATGGATCCAATGGCCGCAGTCACGCATTGTAAAAACGTCGATAAGTGTTGCAGAACTTGTTTGAATGATGCATCAATTAAAATGTACGATATTTTTTCTGAAGCCACAGGGAATATTAACGCAGCACAGATTTTAACCCTGTGTACAAAATTAAAGGTAAATCTCGCCTGTATTTTGTGAAAATGTTTATTAAAATGTGAGTCTTACTAACACAACAAGTATTGTTTGTATTTTCTTCTTACAGATAGACAAAGATGATGGTCTGCCAAAGAAACTATGTGGCAGTTGTTACAACTGTCTTATGAGCTTCTACGATTTCCGGAATCTCGCTGAGAAAATTGACAATGAACTACATTGCTGTTTGGAGAGCAATGGGACCCAAGGCCATAATGAAACTGAATCTAAACACTTAGTTGTAGATATCAAAATTGAACAAGACAATAGCAGTCTGAGTGATGATTATGATAACGAACCAAACTGTGACGATATACTTATAAAAGAAGAGAAATATGAACTAGAATCAAAACCCTACTTATGTACTATATGCTTAAATAACTTTGACAATGTAACTGAGCTTCATAAACATTTAAAAATACATGATAGTTGTCTAAAATGTAACATCTGCAATAAAAAGTTTAAGAAAGTCGCAAAATTGGAGCAGCATAAACTAAAACATGAAAATAAACAAATTTATTCATGCCAGATTTGCAAAGATACTTTTAAAGACCATATTAAATATGTTAAGCATCTTGTTAAACATGGTAAAGATAAAAACGAAATGATTTCTACAGAGATAAATCAGAATTGTAACGAATCTGTGGAATGTGAAGTGTGCTCCGCTAATTTTAAGTCTATAAATGCACTAGCAGCTCACAAACGAAAACATGCAAAAAAAGGACGGATATTAGCATGTTCAATTTGCGGTAAAATCTTTAAGAAAGTTAGTCATGTGAAGAGACACGAGCTTTGTCATGAAGTAAACCGACCTTTTAAATGTGCGAGATGTCCAAAGAGGTTTAACACGGAAAGTTTGTTAAATGAGCATACAGACAGGCATAACAACATTAAGCCACATGAATGTCCAATTTGTTTAAAGACATTTGCTCATGTTACTACATTGACAAATCATATAAAATTGCACACACGGGATAAACCGTTCTTGTGTCAAACTTGTGGGAAAAAGTTTGATTCTAGCACAAATCTTAATCAACATATGAGAAGACATTTAGGTCTAAAAGTATTTAGTTGTAATGAATGTCCTAGAAAGTTTGTTAGCAAAGGTGAGATCTAGAAATATTAATATATAATCTTCATGAAATGTAAAAATATTTAAAGTATAAACATTGATAGTTGATACAACTGTTCAAATGACTTATCAAATGTGTAGTAAGAGAGTCAAAGTGGAATTCCATTAAGTCCATTAGATAGAAAAAAATTATAATAATATGAGGGAAAGAGATGTGTGTATGGCACCCAACGTCTTGTTCGCTCTTATTGCTTGGACAAAAAAGCTTTTTCGACCTGTTTAAGCCAATTTCGCTTTAATAAATATGGTGACTCCCTGCTGTCTACTTTTCATCACATATCTTATATTTTTTCTAATATATAGATATTTTGTCTAATATTTTTTAAGTGTATAGTGTTGCAACTGAGTCAAGTATTTTTAGGGAATAATAAAGGTTTCCAAAAAGAAATTAAATTGCAGCATTTAGCAAACAATCAAGACCTAGTTAAAATTATGATTTTATGATTTAACCTATGAAAACAAACTGTACTTCCGAATAATAAGAACACACGCACTCATAGCCCCGCAATTGGCAAACTCTGTATCGTGAGTGTCATGCATATACACACAGACAACCAGAAATTACGCCCAAACTCACGAGAGAAATAAATGCAAGCCATGCAAATATTTATCTCGGCCTGGGAATCGAACCTGGGGCTATGTGTGGCAGTTCAGCATGGAAACATTCGGCCACTGAGGCAGTTGATATAATATTCTAAACTTCCAAAAGAAAAACTGCCTTACTGATGTGTGTCCTATGTTGTGTCATAATAGTATTGCCGTATGATGGACTAGTTTAACAACAAGCATTAAAATTTATGAAATGTATAAATAAGTCGCTTTTAAATTGATTAATACTATAGTATGGATTTGTTTATGGTTCATGGACTGAACACAGATGGATACAAAATAAAAAAAAAATTATTAATAGGTGATTTACGATAAAAATGGCTATAATGTTTTCAGTAAAATACGAATTAAGTTGCTAGAGCATTTTTACGTTAGAAAGATTTTTCGGAACTTTCAGTATTTCATACGGTTGTTTTGGTATTTAAACAAGTCACACAAAAGTTTATATTTTGAATAAGCTCGTTTAGTAAAGTTAGATATGTATCGATCTTTGTATTAATAATTATAACACACTAGTGGAGTAATTTCACAAAAAATAATTGAATTTCAATTCAATACAAATTTAATTAGTTAAGTGTCTATTAGGCGGGCACTGTAAATGCTAATTACTGTAAGCTACAAAACTCATATATGTTTATTAAATACATTTTCAGGAGAACTAAAATCTCACACTACAACTCATTCCGGTGAGCGATCACATACATGTGATCAATGTGGATCGATGTTCACTAAACGTAGCTCTTTGGAACAACATAAACTGAGACATGCAGGAGTCAAGCCACATCAATGTGACACTTGTCCTATGAAGTAAGTTTTGTAGAACAAATATGAAATAAGCTCAGATTACAAAACATAGGCAGATGGAGCGCGCCGAACACGAAAGTGAAGCCACCAAAGCAAATACAAATTCAAAAGCGAATACAAACTCGCATCAGTACTAAGCTCAGCGTCGCAATGTTTGCACGTCACTAGTGATTAGTTATTTTATGTTTAAAAATGTCGTCTTGTGTCTTTAAACATTGTAAAAGTTGACATATCTCCGACGGTCATCTCTTGGTTTCATAGTTACCTACATGGGTGTCGGCAACGTGTTCGCATTGATGAGAGGTTCTCTTCTTGGTGTGACGTCAATGTTGGCGTTCCACAGGGCGGCGTTTTATGTCCTCTTCTCTTCTCAATCTTCATTAATTCAATTTCCCGCAGTCTGACCTCATCCTGCCACCTGTATGCAGATGATTTACAAATTTACACTCACCGGCAACTTGAAAACCTACACGAAGCCATTGAGGAAATCAATAATGATCTCCGTCCTATTTCGACGTGGAGTAAACAATATGGTCTCAAACTTAACGCAACGAAAATGCAAATGATTGTTATTGGGAGTTCTAGAATGGTATCCAAGATAGATTGGTTTCGTTTGCCGCAGGTTATTATAGACGACACCTACATTAAAATTAGTGGCAACGTAAAAAATCTGGGTATACACATTGACAGGCAGCTATCTTGGACACCTCAATTAGGTGAGACCAGTTGCAAATTGTTTGCGTCTGCCGCATCTCTTAGACGGTTTCGTAATTTCTTGCCTATTGCCACGAAAATTGCGCTTGCTCAAACTCTTCCAATTCTTGATTATGCTGATGTCTGCTATCTGGATTTAACCGAAGAACAGCTCAACAAGCTCGAACGTCTACAAAACTTTTGTATCCGTTTCATTTATGGTCTGAGGAAATTTGATCATGTTTCCATTTCCCGCAAGGAGCTGGAGTGGTTACCCATTAGACTTCGCCGTAATGGTCATATTCTTAATCTTCTTTATGGCATCTTATTGATTCCTCACATACCACCTTATTTGAAGGAGCGATTTGAATTCGCCCATCAGTCCAACCCCGGACATCTGCGCTCATCTTCAACTCTCCAACTTAACATGCCCTTGCATACCTCCCAGTAATACGACAAGTCCTTTACTGTTCAGGCTATTCGTTTGTGGAACGCTTTACCTTTGTCTATTCAACAAGCAAAATCATTGAATATTTTCAAAAATATGGTAAAAGAACACTACCTAACTTTAGTGTGACTTGAATTGCTTAGGTAGTTTTTATGTTGTAAAATTATGTTTTAGAAATTTTATTTTTATAGCTGTAGGAATATACAGTAGTTTATGATATTCATATATATATGTATTGGTTTCATTATTTATAAATATACAGGCTGTATATTTGAGACGGGGCAGCAAGGCCAGCTACTTTAATCGTTATAGTTACAGGAAAACTGTTCTAGAAGACTAACCGTGAATTTTTAAGATATTTTGATTGGCATTCACAGATTTTAAAAAAATGGTACAGTCAGCAAGATAAAGGGCAATTTTTACAAAACCTTTGTATGCCATTCGATCCGGTCTCTGGTGAGGATCAATAGTCTCTACCAACTGAGGTAAGAGTACTCGAAATGTCAAAAATCGGAAAAAACCTTTTACCACACATTTTATATGAAAAGTTTTTGTTAGAAACGAAACTGGCCACTACTCTACAAATAAGACTTAGGTAAAACCAAATTATAATCATATCATTATTTTTTAAATTTGGAACTGCTTTGTTTTGTTTTGTTAATAGAGAATTGTTACTTTTAAGACGATTTTTATTCAAAATGTTCTAAGTGTGGAAACAAATGAATTGGAATACATTGTCCTATCAAATGACCACCGCGCAGTCCTGATCTGACGCCCCTTATTTTTTTCTTTAGGGCTATGTAAAAAATGAAATTTATAAAAAAAACAACAGTGTTCAAGAATTAAAAGACGCACTTGCAGCAATTTGCAATGGAATCCAACCGAGTAGAATTTCAGCCGCTACTTGCTCTTTGCGGAATAACTACCTAGAATAACTGATTACTAAATAGGTCCCTACAAAATGTGTGTGTAAAAAGTTTTTCCCGATTTCTGACATTTCGAGTACTCTTACCTCAGTTGGTCTCGTAGAGACTATTGATCCTTACCAGAGACCGGATCGAATGGCATAAAAAAGTTTTGTAGAAAGTGCCTTTTATCGTGCTGACTGTACCATTTTTTCAAAATCTGTGAATGCCAATCATAATATTTTCAAAATTCGTGGATAGTCTTCTAGAACCGTTTTCCTGTAACTACAACGATTAAGGTAGCTGGCCTTGCTGCACCGTCGCAAATTTATACCCTGTAGGTATATTTGTATTTATTTATCGTTTTTCTATCTATTGATTAGTAATTCTTCATATACCGTCGTCTTTTTCCTGTGAGTTATAGAGTTACTTCCATCCAAAGGTTGTCTGGCAGAAATCGCTTAAAACGATAAGACCGCCCATTGTATTACCACTTATTTTTAATTTAACTGTATTTGATTTGTTTCCTTTTTTGGGATACAATAAAGAATTTTTGTATTTGTATTGTATTGTTAATTTAACTGTTTTGTAATTTATTTACCAGATACTTTTTGAGATTCACTCGAAACACAAAACCTCGACTTAAATTCGATTGTGTTGCCAGTTTATATCGAAATGAGTTTCCCCAAATTATGTAAATATGCATGGGTGGTAGAAGCATCGAATAATGTATACTTTTGTATAGAAATCAAATAATGCATGCATATACAAACAGAATGGTTCAATTACAGCGATCCAAAATTGTTTTTAGGTAACTCAGATTTATCTAAATTATTCTCAAACCAATTTCTAATCGCCAATAATGTAACTATGTATATAAAAGAAAATGTTCAAAAATAGTTACAATTTTAGCCCTATATATACAGAGAACTTTCATTGTTAAGTGCGCATGTCATACAGAGAGTGATTTTGTAAGAAAACGTACCAATAAAAAAAAATATTATATTGTACGTACATGACTTCACTCTTTAGAAGAGTTTCATTGGGAAACAAAAATTTTTTCGTCAAACCAGAACTTAATCATCAATGTTATGGAATTGATTACAAAGTTAATTTAAAAAAAAATGTTAATAGAAAAGTATTTGATGGTCTCGATCTATAGACGCGAAACGGTAGTATTATAAAAAATGCGTACAAAATAAAGGTTATTAAGATATTGTGTAACTGTGATTGTAATAAATAATTTGAACTATCAAAGTTTTCCAATTTTAAATATCTTAATAAAATATTAAGTAATATATTGCAATAGTTATTTGTGATACAAGTGCGTAAAGTTAGTCATTATTCACGCGTCTCGAGGCTTCTACTTCTCGAGACAAGTGAAAATGACAAATCCGCTCGTGTATCAAACGACATTTTGTAATACATTTGCGAAAAAACTACATTAAAGTAAAATATCACAGTATTTAAAAAAAGTAAATGAAAAAAAAAATTGTTTTCAATATGGCAACTATTGCCAGTCTTCAGCCACATTAAAATTACTATTTTAGTGGCGCGGCGCGCAGCAGTCTCGCGTAATACTCACCTCCGGTCATTGTTATTACTCAATCAGCCATCTATAAGGAAAATATTTTGGTATTTTTAAATGTAACCCGTTGTTTTATAAAACACATATGCAATTTAAACAAATAAGATGCTGTAAGTAAATATAAGTTTTAATGACGAATGACTTACGTCACAAAGCACAAAAATATTAAATAAATATACAACCTCTTTAGTTCTATGATTAAAATTTGAAATAACAGTAAATTAAAAAAAAATGGAAAAGTAAAAACGCATTAGTGCGAAAAATCCAACTTTCGACACGACTTGTAGTAAGAAAAATACCACGTTTTGAGCAACTGTATTAAAAAATAACATTTCCAGTTTGTAACAGTATTATAGAAAGTAATGGAAAAAAATGGTATTTCTTCGCAGCACCTGGCAATCTGATACACACGCAAATGCGCATGTCCCTACAGTGCCCATCCTAGTTGTCACGCACTCAACAAAGAAACATTTTGCTGATTGGATGGAGTTTGGATTGGAGAATGGACAACATCTTCTTATAGATAGATAGATTAAATGTATATTTGGGTCTACAGGCACACATACATAACAGAAAAATATGTAATATAATAAAAAAAGATAAAAAACAGCAGAGTCGCAGCTCTGTCTAACACATAGTTCTGTTTGTGTGCTGTAGCAGTGCAAATACGTCAACGTTAGTGTTTACTCGGGAGCAAACCGCTGATTTTCAGCTATAACCTAGAGGGTGACGCGGATACGACAACCAGCTAGCTGACGCCATTTCTGTGTTGTATAATTTAAACAAAGAATAATTTGGAAACTAAATAAATGCGGAAAATAATATAAATATAGTAAAATAGTATATTCTTTTAGATTTGTCTCGTGTAATTTGTGGTTGTCTATGTGTGTGTCCATGGTACCCGCCATACATGGTTTCCCTGGTGCGGGGTTATGAGTGTGTGCGTATTATTATTATTGCACACAATACGTAATTCACATTTACCAAAAAGAAAACCCAAAAGGCATTGACTTACAATTATATGGACGTAAAAAGTGTCCGCACTTGTAAGGCGCTAAAATCGTATACAGAGCGCGACACTCCGCTTTAGTCTTCATTTGTTCTACGGACAGCGCGATACTGCGATGACATAACAATTTAAATTTCGAAAAGGTTGACTTGGGACATTTTTTTCGTGGTTTTTGTATTAGACCCGTCGTCCATTTATTTGTAAGTCAATGCCAAAAGGTTCTCTTATGTCTTAAAGAAGTTTCTTCCTGAAGACCTAAATATAGGTCACAATAACCAAAATAAACAGATTTGTGTACAACAAAACAAAAATTTTATAATTATAAGGGCTTTTTCATAATAGTACAAAATCGTTTCAAGTCAAGTAGTTATACGACGCAGTCGCACCAAAGTTAAACGATGTAGTGCTTCCTGTGCGATGTTAGGTTGTTTTACAAGGCTTTGATAAGTTTCACACAAAAATTGTAATTCGAATGTAAATAAATATAATTTACTGAAAAGGATATCATCTGTACTGTTTCAGGTTCACAACCAAGGACCACTTGAAGCGTCACTACAGGATCCATACAGGCGAAAAACCTTACAAGTGCAACATGTGTGATCGCGCCTTTACACAGAGTACTGATCTTATCAAACATAAACGATCACATCTAGGAGAAAAGATTTACAAGTCAGTTAACATTAAATCATTTGTATTACGTGGTCTCTGCCTACCCCTTCTCTGGGACAAGGGCGTGAGCTTATGTATGTATGTACAATGTGCATTGTTACACAGTGCAACAGACGCATGATCATTAAAAATGAGAGGGTGGTTGTTGATATACAAACATCCTTTATACGTAAATAGAATATATTCTATACATAGAAAGAAATACACATACATAGAAAGAAATGTTAATATCTCGTGTATATTTTTCGTAAAAATGTTTAATACTGTTGAATTAGAAGACACAGCGTGATTGCGACACGTGATGTCCCTAACGATTGCGGCAATTTTTTACTTTTATTTTTTGTTTAAATTTTTTTTTAATGGTGGATTTAAACAGCCGCGCGTTAAGAGACGCTGCGTGGCTCTAAGATGCCACCGTACTAAAATCGTTAGGGACATAGTGTCTCTAACGAGTTAAGTAAAATTGAAATCACCCATTGACATCCCCAAAGAACCAGTTTCACATTTGCTTTTCATTTTTTCTAGGTGCACAGAATGCTCAGAAAGTTTTCGTCTTCAAACGGAATTACGTCAACATGTTTCTGAACATTTCAAATCCCTACAAAAAAATCAGGATATAAAATAATGAAAACAAAAAAGCATCTACAAGTGTCATTCGTCAACAAAACGCCAGATGGCGCCAAAGGGCCAATGATTACAAACAAGATTTTACATGCTGCTCAAAGCGACAATTGTTGTAAATGCTTGCCTAATTTTAAAAGCAAGAAAACAAAAAATCGTGGAATTACATCTGTTTGCCAAGTTTTATTGGAATCGGTTACTGGAAAGTGCGCGAAACCGGATTCATCCCCTAGTATGCCATCCTTAGAGGTAGAAATGAAAAGTTTATGTAGCGGGAATTTAGATATCAGAGTTATAAAGAAATGTTAATAATTATTTGTGAAGTGACAGAAGTCGTGGTAACTTAATTGCCTCTGAAGCAAAGGCCGCCGGTTCGAATACGGGCTCGCACCTCTGAGTTTTCGGAATTTACGTTCGAAATTTAATTTAAAATTGACCTTGAGCTTTTCGGTAAAGGAAAATATCACGATGAAACCTGCACGTCGACAAAGGTTAACAACCCTTGGAAAACGCATAAAGTCCCCAACCTTTTTTTTTTGGTGGGGGGGAATCTTTATGGATACCCCTGAGTCCAGGGAGACTCAGGGGTTATGTGGAGACTCTCCCTCCAGACTGGAGGGCCTACCCCACTAAAACCCCCCCGGGTTTCCCTCTCGCCGGTTGAGTCGGCGTCGTGGGATCGGTGAGCTGAATGCTCCACGACGATAAAGTCCCCAACCTACGTTAACCCAGCGTGGTGGACTATGGCCTAAACCCGTGCCCAGTTGTGTGACGTATACATGGGTTGATGTTGATTGTGAACTGCCACTTCAATGCAAATATTTCGTATTTGTGCTAAGAGGGGACGGTGCATCTGCCTCCACCTTTAACCGTTTTAATTTTGATGTGAATATCAGTGACATTTTGATCCATGCACGTTTATGTATATTTATTGGTTGGTGCAATATAATAATGAACCAAATACCCCATTATGTGTAATATAATGTATGTACATACATTAAACAATAAGTTATTGTAAAAAAGAATAATATACAATTAATTTGAATAATAATAACGCATAATAACGCATATATCTAGACAAAATTACGTTCTAAGTAATTGTTTTCAGTAAGATTTGTTTTTAATTTATTTTAATTATACAAATAAACTTTATTTTTATTTATGTACTATGTTTTTTTCTACTGCATCTGATCTAGCTGTTATAAGAACTTAATTTTAGCTTAGGATCAATAGAGCTACGTAATTTAAATACCACTAGGCTGCTTTATGCCAAAATCAAAATAAAAGGTTAGGAAAGCCACAAGGGAAAACTATGAGAAAAGTCAAGGTGGAATGGTTATATCAAAAGGAATATAGTCTGTTTTTTTGAAGATGGAGTAAAATGACATTTGTAGGGTTACCAGTTTTGATAAAATTTTAAATAGTTATGTAGTTGTCGATAGTTTATCGATAGATTGTGAAAAAAGATAAAATTTTGTCAAAAATGACTGAATTGTGAAAGTTACGACGTTTTAAAGATTACTAATTGCGTTATTGCCTTCTTTATTCTTATTTTTACATTTGGCCTAATAGCATCGAGATCAATTTTTATTCATATACATTTTAACGAGAATTAGCCGTATTTGATTATCAGTATTGAATGGAAATGAAAAACTTTAAAATACATCTCTTCGTATTTTTCATAAACATAGTTCTAAATACAGTGTACTACTGTATGTATGAACTTACAAAAAATTACAATTTAAATGAATTTGTGCTTAGTAATTGGATGGTCGACGATGATTCAAATGATACAAGTTCGGCTATTTATTCCATAAGCGTGACCAATATTCATTCGATAGTCGATAGAATATTTATCGACTGCAATCACTAGCTGTGCGCAAAAGTGTTGCCCCTTTTGCGCAATGAACTGTCATTTTACTCCGTCTTCAAAAAAGACAGACTAGTCTGCTAAATTTAGTGTATGTATGTATTTTCAAAAATAACAATTCAAATGAATCTGTACGTAGCAGTTGAATGACTATTGGGCCGAAGGTGATTCAAATGAAACAAGTTTGATTATTTATTTCATAAGCGTAACCAACATTCAGAATTGAATACTCGTCTTTATGTATATGTCATTTAATAGTAAATGAGTTCGTGAATTTTCGTAAAATATTTAAAAAATAGTGATTTAGTCTCCATGTTAAAGTTTATTGTCCTTGTTCTTTAATGTCGAGAACAATCAAAAGATTATCGAAGCCGAATTAAGTCGACATCTGATTGTAATTGATCTGATTGTATTATCTTTTTTTATAGGCTTTAATTTTTACCCGTATCTATTCGATTCAATGCGGATTATGGTTGTCACGACGTACAGAAACTCTTGATGTTTTAATTAAAGGTAGCTAATAATAATAATCAATTACTTTTAACTTTTCTATAACTTGAAAGCAGAAAATTCGAACCAGTAAAAATATAGCCAGGTACATACTTTGAACGAAAATATATTAAAGATATTAAGTTAATACTACTACTCATAGTAATAATTTTATTGTTCGTCCATTGCCTATAGACCATCTGTATCGTCATATTTAATAAAGAGTCTTTGTTTCTGTTCCTAAAAATTAAAGTGGTCTATTATCTACTACCTACATATCGTCTGCCTAAAGGTAAAACCACATAAGTGAAATTTTCCATAAAAGTCGCCAAATTATGTACCAGTTGCAAGAAATTCATTGTCTTTCTGCAGATAAAACTCTTATTCAGTTTATAGCTGTTTTGTTATTGAGTTTCACGTGCAGAAAGATAGTGACTTTCTTACTGTAACTATATAAATTAAATACTTTTTGTAGAAAATGTCACTATATAAATTAAATACTTTTTGTAGAAAATGTCACTTGTGTGGTTTTACCTTTCAACAGACGATAGATAGAGCAGTAGCTTAAAAAATGACGTTTTCAAAGAATGGAATAATGGAATAAATGATTATTTGACTTCGACATACTATAGCGAAATGGGGTACCTAGTACTATCATATTCTGATATTTTATTTTACGGTTAACGCCATTGCTACCCATGAAGGGGTAAGGATAAGATTAGATTTCCTATTGGCGATAACTTGTAGCAGTAATTTTATTTCAAGTACTTAGCTGTCGATTTCCTGATTAGTTCATAGGTCACATGTACACGTATTTTAGGAATCTACATTGATACACGTCCTTTATGGGCTTCTTTGACTGCAAAATTAACATCTGTGCACAAGTCAGTCGGGTATGTTAATGCGGAACAGTGCTCTAAAATGTTTTATGAATATTTAACGAATTCCGACTGGTATCCGGTAAGTAGATGGGATTGGTTGCAACATTCACGTGGATACCGCATGTAGGTGATTACGCTCAACTGGAATCGGTACACTACTATACAAAAAGGTATTATATTTCACCTATTCGTCATACTCATGTTAACAAAACTGTTAGTAGTATATAATATAATAATAATATATAATCCACTAATTTGCTACATAATTTAAAGGTGGAATATTTTCATCAAATTTGAATGCGATCACTACTATGGTGCCCAGTTTTCAACAAAATAAGAACCATTCACAGACCTTCATTCAGATTCCATTCAGAAATCAGTTCGCAAATGTAGTAGTAACTGCGTAACATGCACACACAAAAATACAATCGAATTGAGAACATACACTATGTTGGTTTCCTAAGCGCGTTTACGCACTGCATCCGATTCGTATTCGTTCCGAGGGGTCTACTCTCGATCTCCGTCCGACATCCGTCCGAAACAATTACTGCCAAATAAGCAATACTTGACCAAATGAAAAGACGCGTGATGCGAATGAAGCTTCATACTGGATACTTGTCTTTTAATTTTGTCGAATATTACTTATTTGACAGTAATTGTTTCGGACAGATGTCGGATGGACATCGAGAGTAGCCCCCCGAATCCGAGACTATTTTTAGTGCATAAGCCTCTTATTAAGTGCCAAGATTTAATTTAGGCCTTGCCATTATTTCAATGAGTTCTTCTTGCAAAACGTGTTCTCCTTTATCTGAAAGTTCTTCGTGGAATTATGTACGAGCTATTTTGTTTTTGTTCGACTTTTGGCTGCTCCCTTGGCAGTTTAAAGAAAGACGAGGAGATCAGAGAGCAATTACTTGGCAGCGTCGACAACGCTTTCTGACACGAGGTTTATTGCCTTTTACCCTGATGGGACTAATCATTTATTTAAGTACTATTTAGTAGATATATAGAGTATTCATCGAGCTATGGAAAGGTCTATGCTGGGTATCTCGTTAGGGACAAAGTCCGGAATGAAGTTATAAGACTAAAGTTGTGGACATCGCCCAGAAATGTAGTAAGCTGAAGTGGCAGTGGGCTAGCCACATCTGTCGCAGAACCGGTGAGCGATGGAGTAGACGGGTTCTCGAGTGGAGACCACGTCTCGGCTTATATCCAGCAGTGGACAGCAATAGGCTGATTGATATTTAGTAGAATAAGATGAAGGTGTGATTTGAAGGCATGCTCTGTAGGATATATGCTGAATGCCTACGCAGTCGGATAGATCCCCCAAGGAGTTATTTGAGACTGTTTATGACCCTGGCCTAATGCGGGTCGGGAACTTACATCTCTTGGAAAAGTTTTGTACAACTTTTCTGTCATGAACGTAAGCAGTAAACTCTGGAATCAACCCCAAGACGCCCGAAAAAATTGTTCACAAAGTTTAGCTGGTTAACTACAAAGGTGGTCACATTGCGTGGCATGTGTATCTTTCTAATTCTTTCACTGAGTGTCTGATTCTACATTCCGCCGTGTTAGGTAAGTCGCAAAACAAATGCGGATCGCCGATATTTCGAGCCGGTTTCGTAGTCGTAATTCTGTGAACAACTGAATGGAGTCGTGACTGCTCGATTACCAGCTGATGTACCTTATGGATTTCAACATTTCATGGCACAGTCACTGCAAGTGTACATGTGAAGTCATTGAATGCACAATATACGTAGTTAAGTGAATATTTTAATAAATATTGCATGTTTGTACCCAAATATATATACGGCTGCAATATAACTGTAATGTTTATTTTTTCTAAATCAGAATGTGTTATTTCACAAATAACTTTTTCATAAAAAAAAAACCCGACCTTCAAAAGTTAGCGGAATTGCATCTATTTCCCAAATTTTATTGAAATCGGTTAACGGAAAGTGCGCGAAACCGGGTTCATCCCCTAGTTTGCGACCCTTAGAGGTGAAATATTTTTCTTAAAATTTAACCAATGGTATCAATACTGATGTACTCTCTTTCAACAAAAAAGAATCATCAAAACGGGTTCACAAATGAGTAACCGCGTAACATGTAAAAAAATAGTCGAATTGAGAACCTCCTCCTTTTTTGAAGTCGGTTAAAAATACGAATAGAAAAAAGCTGTACTATTGATATATTTTACAAAAACAGTAAAAAGCTGTACTATTAAAATAGTAAAAATACTATTTTACTCGCTAAGAAGTAAGATGTTGGTTCGAAACATGTCGAGAAAAAAATCGATTTCGATAAAACACATGAGTTATCTCATAGTTTGGTTAATAAATCTTAGTCTCACGGTAGTTTTCTATTTAAAAGTAACACTATTGCAACTTCTGAATTAGCATTGCGCCATCTGAAAAAAAATGAAGTACCTACCTTTTTTTAATATTTATTATTTTCTATGATTTTCTGATAAAACAGCCCATTCAGTTAAAATATTAATCAACACTTATAAATTCAAGCTCTTTTACAAATTTTAGCACTCGGAAGTTAAAGCAAAACTCGTATTTATTGCTGACTTTATCCGTGATTCGTTTTGTATATTACTTGCGTAACAATTCATAACTACGTTATGAAGACTCTTTGCAGATAGTAATGTTTTAGGGATCTATTGATAAGTCACTCTTTGATGTATAAAATTCATGCAAAAGTATATTTAATAGAAAATGTGTTAAAAAATGTTTTCCCTTCAATATATTTTCTATTAAATATCCCATGTAATATTGTCTTGCATAGGTATTTTCATAAACTACTATAATTTTAACTTTAGTTTGTTTTTGATATACAAGTGACAGATAGGTAGGTATTTATAATAATAATCATCTTCTCCGTAGCCTCAAACTTACGTTTTAAAGAAACCATTTACGTTACTTAGATATCTAACAAAAGGCAGTAATATTAAATGTCCCACCGGTTTTTGTTCGTTTTTGTATTATGTTGTATTTGTTTGGAGTTCTTTAACGTTCTTAAACATTATCTACGTAATACCCGTTAGCTCACCTACATATGTCTACTGATAGACATCGTGCAACGTTTCCCAACTACCTTCTTTACCATCACCAATTCTATTGGCTTTACTACTACCTACCTATATCAGCGCAAGATATCAAACGAGCGATTCAAGAATATTCCCGTGCGTGTGCCAAACAACACGTGGTGGCACGGAACATAGTGAGAGAAGGAAGTGGTAGGGTTGTCTGTGTCCGCAATTCGCGCGCCGCGCACGCGCAAGCCGTTGCGAACGTTTAAATTTTTGGATTTCGATCTTATGAAGGCGTGAGTATGTTTTTCTTTAACGGCTCGTATTTTTCATAAAGGGAATGCAGTGAAATTTTGATGAAGTGTCATGGAAGTTTGAATGATTGTAGTCTGGAATATTTAATTTTAATGAATTTTGTCTCCAACAATTAACATTATTAAGAATTGATTATTGAAAAATATGATTTTACGTAACAATAAAAAAATCTTTAATTAAAACATGAATTCGATAAAACATTTAGTTGAAGACGGCATTTGAAAGACTAGATAAACGCCGCCGGCGGAAAGATTTTCATTGGAAATTTTACTGTTCCACAAGAACGGTTATCAAAATACAAGAAAATTGGTTTGGAAATTAAATAGAAGGAAAACTCACTATATTCTTTTAAATTATGTGAGTGATTAATTAAAAAACTGTCAAATTTTATCAAAAGTTCGATTCAAAGAACACTTTGCTAGCCTAAAGAGATATGTTTTATTCATCTTTAATAGGAATAAAAATGAATTTCTAACATTCTTGCTATAAATATTCATTTATCGAGTTAGTGACTTGTGAAAACTTATTTATGTTAGTATAATCTACGTAGAATACTTTAAATACAATTGATACAAAATACTTCTTTCCCTTTAAGAATATCAGATATGTAGTAAAATTAGATACAATATTCAACCTTAAGCACATGTGCAAATGTTAGTGGATTAATTTTTTTATTGGTTAAGGAAGGGAAGGTTAATTGCAATTGAAAATAATATAAATTGGTATTTGTAAACATTTTTTTTATACAAGATAAATAATTGCTTAAAATAATGTACTATTTAGTACCATTTAAAGTAATATTGTCAACAAGAAATTAAAGTGGGTTACACCACTTTTGCAGTGCCTCAATTAGCTGTCAAACAATTCTGAAAGAGCACGTTTTGCTAAATTTAGTGTAAACGCGTTAGGTTTAAAATTATCTCTATGCCACATACGATAAGAACGATTCATGATCTGAAGTGTAAGCTCAGCGTGCTGATCACTGTACAAAAATGGAGACGATTAATAATCTTTCAGATAAAAAATTTTGTACAGGAGAGTAGAGTTGTAAAACCGAAAATTCAAGTAAAATAAACAAAACAGTTTAGTTGTTACCTAAGTGAATTGCATGAAAAAAGTAAAAGGTGTTCGGCCACCGAGGTGATCCAGACGCTTGTTGCACAACAGAAATTTGATTCCAGAAGTAGACTGTTTATACGTAGGTAGTCAGCCTGGGTCTATGACCGTCTATGTTTTATTGCATATATAAGTAATTGTACAACGCGCAAGTAGTGAAAACACGTGGTTATCTCCTCTCAATTCTACTGTATTTTCTTGTATATGTTACGCCATTACTCCGACATTTGTGCACAGATTTCATTGATTCTTTTTTTGTTGGATAGATAGTATCTTAGTAATGATCTCATTCAAATTTGATGAGAAGATTCCACCTGTAATGGCGGCAAATGGGGGATGAATCCGGTTTATTGAAATTCACCCACTTTCCTTAATCGATTTTAATAAAAATTGCCTAAGATTTTGTAATTACAATGGAAATAATATGTTAGAAATGGCTGATAGATGAGAGCAACTCCTCAACATTGTATTCTCAGCAGCTACTTTGTGTTTGGGTTATGCTTCGCTTACACGAGGACTTCCAGCGTTTCAATCATCGTAGAGAAGACCGCCGCCTGTAACGAACTCTCCAAAGGAGGCTAAACAAACTTTTGAGATCACTTTTTTATATAAAAGTTACAAATATCTACCGTAACGACTTACAATATTTAGATTGAAAAGTTCATATTTTCATTGGGCAAGAGGCTTCTCTTGGGACACTCGGTCACATTATCAATCAGATAATGAGAAGTATCTTGTATATTGGAATTCGTGTTTATACAAGTAATAAGGCTTCTCTGGGAAGATTTTTAGTAATCATATGTATCGTCCGTTATGTAAACGTAAAACAAGCTTTGCGGTTGTCATCGAGTCTGGTTATATACTCGATGGCGACTACATATGATAACACATTTCGAAGCATAATTTATTCAATTTCATATCTCTTAATACTGTATAAGTGTGCGACTTTCTCTGTCTCTTAGAAAACTAATTTAAAGGATATTATGACATTTTGCTAGCTGCTACTTGTAGTAACTTTAAGCATTTATAAAGTTTTTATTTTAAGTTGTATATTATTTTAAAGTTTTGGGTAAACATTACAACTGGTCAAATTAAGTAATAATTGCGCATTTTCCAAATTTTAATATTTAAATTTTCTGTCAATATCTCAAAATTCAATGTAATCATACTAACATAACTTTTGTAACTAACACCATTATCTTATGGGCTATGGCCTGAAATAAATGGTTTATTATTATTATTATTATTATTATAAAGTTCTCTGTTGGAGTCGACGGGCTTCTAGTTTCAAAGTTAAATGAAAAATAGAAAGGAATACTTATTTATACAGGTGTCCCTAGGCTCTGAGACATAGAGGGTAAATATTTTGAAAATTGTAGATAAAAATAAGTTTTATTTTACATTTTGTCGATTCGATATCCAGATAAGCCAAGCGACTTTATTAAAAATCTTTGAATGCAACATTACTTACTTACTTTTAAAAATAAAATGAAGTCTGCATGAAGCAAAATATATCTGCAATGTTTAAAGTATCTACTGTCTTTTTAAGGATAGCTATGGGATACTCTGTATATAGAAATATAATCGTTGTTCTTTTTTATCTTATGAAATAATTTGACACAACATTTTGAATCTATCTCGACAGTCGGAATACGGAACATATTTATAGCATTTTTACTTTGATAAATATGATGCTTCTACTGTAAATAGTGACGTTAAAAGTTACCGCTTTTACGTTAAAGGTTACGGTTTTCACTTGTACATTGACGCCTATCAATCAATAAGTCACATAGTTTGCTGAGAAATGACATAGCACTAGAAACCAGTATTCTTCTTAGCAATTTCACCCACTCCAGTAGCCCGGTACGGGCAGGAAATGAACTGGTTGGTTGAGGAACTGGTCGGCGTTACGTTGGAGATACAAAGTTATGCACATAGCGTGAGAGATTTTATAAATAAACTCCTCTATTTCACATTAACATATTAGGGTATTGTAATTTAAACTTTTTTAACAAAACGCTTAAACTCATTACGGAGAAGTTATCGTTAATAAAAATACTACAATATATATTGCCGATAGGCAAACGTTCGAGACCGGTTTTTTTAAATAATGTTAAGATAAAATAATAAGCATCACGACAAACATTTGATAATAGTATAAAATTTACATTCTCCCGAAATTCTATCAAGTACTGGTTATGATTTTTGTTTATGAAAATAATCATTATGCTTCTATAATCATAATAAATAAAAAAAGCTGCATTTTAAATATCAGCGATTAGCGATGTTTGTTATTACTGGATTTGTTAGAATTCTTGTCCTTTTACGTGATTTTGAGTTAGTTTATAGATAGTATATTAAGTAAGCGCAATATTTTGTCAGAATTTTATATAATGCAAAGAAAATGATGCAGTAAATTAAATTTGCACAAAAACCGCAATGAGCACTGGGCTTCGTCAATAGGTTCTAAAACATAAATAATAACTGGGCCTTTTAAAAAAAAGAAAAGCGAGAGTCAATAGGGAGTATTTAAGTGTGTATGCTCCATCATCGACCTCATCGTCACTTTCCATCAGGTAAGACGCATCAATATTTTTTTATAAAAAAAAAAAGAGTTCGCCCAGGGAAATACTGCCAACTTACCTATTTCTGCCGCCAAGCAGTAATGTCAGCATTACATTACCGGGTAACGGTGTTGGTGAAATTACAGACACATGAGACTTGTCAACTTATGGTGCCTTATATCGTGCCTATATCAAAAGTTCCCATTATACTGGCAGCATTGCATCGGTGGATGGCAATGGACACCTGCTGAACCAACCACGACTCGGACCGATGATCTCAGACCGCACTTACGTAGTATCCAGATAGCAAATACCTTATTACGTAGTAAAATTTATGATAACTGTATTAATTTTAATGACAGCTAAAGTACTGTGATAGGTCAAGGTAAATTTTAATGATAAAATGATAGGTGCATTAATATAAGATTATTTTTCACATGAATTTTCTTTCGCATGTCACGTCATTCTTAAGGGATTTCTCAAAGTTCTTAACATTGTGTTAAGAGCATTTTTTTAAACCCCGTCGCAAAAAGAGAGGTGTTATAAATTTGAAGCACTGTCCTTATCCCACGCATGCTGTGGTCGGAACAACATGCATTTTTCTTCCACTCTACCCTATCGGCTGATAAGGGAGAGTGGAAGAAAAATGTATGTTGTGCCGACCTGTTGTCATTTTTATCTGTGGCATCGAGCCACTAAACGAATAAACTTAACTTATGAGAAGTCTAATTTGGTCGCAATTGTTTTTAGCTATGTTTGTTGGAAATCTGTTCAACTGCATCTGCACTGCAACTCTTTTCCCAGTTAGTGTAGAGTTTTCAGCTTAAAGAATATTTATAAGTTTATTGAATATCGCATTGTTTGACCATCATAGTATTCAATTATTTTTGTAGAATTACTCCACTAGTTTGTAATAATAATTAATACAAAGATCGAACATTAAGAAAAAACCGAAAACGAAGATCTGCAACAAGTACATAGAAAAATTCGTAAGGTCCGCTAGTTCGTTTCGTGGCTTAGTTGGCATAGTGTCTGCCACGGTTTGTTCGAATTCAACCGTATAGAAGGAAATTTTTCTTAGTGTTTGATCTTATTTATTTCAATTCCACTTGTCCGATCGTTTTGAAATGTGATATACTATGGATATGATAATTTTGATCTGCTGCTGCAACCTGGCCAGTCTGCAGACTATCCAACTCCTCAGTTACTTACAGTAGAACCATTTTTGTTTACGAGTGGTTGGCGTACAAATGGTGACTTTTAGACTTTTTGAAATACACTGTTTTGTATCAGAGGGGTTT